ATGCACGCTGCTCAAGGTCTCGCCGGGGGGACAGATTTAAGGCTGGGGCCAGATTATGTGCTCATTCTTCTCTCCTTCTGCACTCCTGACTGGTGGGACAGACAGTATTTACTTTACCAGCCTTGTAGTTGTGCCCCCTGGCTGTGCCCCTCCTGTCCGCACCGCAAAGATAAGACCAGAAACTCATTAATTCCAACTTCCAAAACTTCTCTGAATAATCTTTTTTTTTACTTCTGAGCTTCACCAACTTGTGCAAAGCGACAAATTATCTCTACCAACCATAGACTGTATAAAGAAGTGGAATAAGAGAGAGTGACGCTCATCAAGGTTAGCATTATAGGTTTAATTTGGAATACAAACATTTTAAGGTCAAAACAACAAGGCTCACTGCAGCAGTTTCAGAGAGAGGAGTGACAATTTTTCAATACAAAGTGAATTTTATCCAGAGTCAATGGAGCTGGAACCGCTCCCATGCTCACTTCCTATTTGGAACACGGCGGCTAGCAGGCTAGTTATGCCCATTTATATATAGTCTACGCTACCAACCTGAAAACATGAGAATCATGATACTACCCTTACCAATACATTTGACATAAAAAAAAAACAAAAAACAACATATTTATTTATACAACACATTTTCCTTATATACAGTACAGAATTACCATAAGACTACTACTGCAGACAATAGAGATATATTGAGCAGATATATGCTCCTTTATCATCGGCCTCAGTGTGTTTCAATGAGATCATATCTAAATGAAAATGATTTGATAAAAATCAGAGCTGATCTTAGTCATGCTCTGTGTTTGAACCCAGGTAAGTGAAATTGCTCCATTGTCTTCTATCTATTGTAATCTTGTACTATCGTAAAGCCAAAACATCTGCTCCTGGACCTTCAAAGAGTTTATTTATTCACTACAATGAGGGAGCAGTAAAAGGCTTTCCTTTGAATTAGGATAGAGCTCACAAAGACATGGCCCTCTCTCTCTCTCTCTCTGTGTCTACGGAGATGACATCATGTGATCTGTTCAGTGCAGGCCTCTGCTCTCTCCAGGAGCCAAGATTAGACTCCTCTTGATGTCTCTCTCTCTCGCTCACTCTCTCTGTTTCTCTCTCTCTCTTTCTAACTCTCTCTCTCTTTTTGTATCTCACCGTTCTGATCAGTATCAGTGGGTTCATTGTTCATAGAGATATTTCTACTCATCAGCTGAACTTAAGCACAAACTTTGTGTCAAATACCTTAGTCTGGGTCAACAGTGGCACCAACTTGTGATTGTGTTTGGAGTTAGACAAGAGAGTAAGGTTTAAGAGCTCAATCCTCTTAGTGGGGACTTTGCTGTTAAACACTGATCCCACGCAGTGCTGTGGCTTTTAGAAAATGCACAGGAGCGCTAGCTGTAGTGTTAGCGCCACAGCACTGGACACAGAGTGGCAAGAGCTGGGTATGTGTGTCAGGACAGGAAGAGGAAACTGATCCTCTTAGTCGGCTGGAATTGGCACACTGTCAGGAAACTGTCACAGGAGTTGGTCAGCTTGAGAGCTGTGGAGTAGATTGTCTGCTCCTCTGTCTTCTTCTCTATCTGCTCCTTTGGCTTCTCCTCTGCTCCTCTATCTTCTCCTCTATATTCTCTTCTGCTGATCTGTCTGCTCCTCTGCTCTTCTATCCTAAATCATCCTCTATCAATCTATTTTTCTGTCTTCTGCTCTGTCTGCTCCTCTATTCCTCTGTCTCCTTCTCTGCTCCTCAGTCTTCTCCTTTGTCTCCTTCTCTGCTCCTCTGTCTTCTCCTTTGTCTCCTTCTCTATTCCTGTGCCTGCTCCTCTGTGGCATGTGGCTGAGTGCACCATAGCTCCGGGCAGGAGTACAATCTAAGGTGCCACAGTGCCTGTCTGACCAATTAGAGTGTGCCTCTGCTGGGCAGGACGCGGACCACCTGTGGGCAGCTGCAGGGCATATCTGGAACTAAGTGCAGCCCAGACAAACGGAGACCTCACCACAAACACATCGTAACACAGGCTTCACCCAAACCTCCTGCGTCTCTGCTCCCACTGTCTACACATCTACAGTCTCCCGGCTCCCATATCCAGCTGTGGTATCTTATCCAAATGTCACAGGCATGTGTCCATGTGGAGCTCTTCCATTGATTGAAAGCAGACATGACAATTAGAGTTTGCAGCCTCATTACAAATATCAATAAAGACATGTGCTTTTAAAAACAAGTGTGGCATTTAATAGATCGTCATAAAGCTGCAGCATTATCTGTGCAAACAGCGAGGCACTAAACTACAGCCATGAAAACGCATTCATGTTAAGAATTTAATGGACCCAACCTTTACCTCTAGTACATAACCAAGTCATTTTGATTGCCATGTTGCAAATGTGGAAAACCTTTTGAATGGAAAACTCATAAAACCCAAACAGGAATGTACTGACACAGTTGTACCTGTTTTTATCCATTTGGACTCACTAAACACAGTTGGAAAGGTACAAATCATCAGCAAACTAGCATAAATGAAAGGCAGGAATTAAGGACACGTGTCAGTATATGAAACAGTGAGTGAGATGTCTCCACAAAACTACAGTGCATATTTGTTGAGAAAAGCAGGCTGTTCTTCATTAACTTGATCTTGATTCCTGAGACAGGGTTATCTTCACTGTCAGCATTCAGCACGGTTAAATGATTTTCCTTGACGCAGATTTGGCACTTTTGATGATTTATGCCTTTATCTATAACTCGCGGTCAACATTATTCAAACTAATGACATCTTTATCACTTACTCGATGGGAAAGCAGCTCAAGAGTGACATAAAACGAAAGCTCAGATTAAAAGTGGCAGACTATGGCCCAGTGAACTGAGTGTGATATGAAACAGCCTGTTCTAGGCTCTTGTTTGCAGAGCAAAGATGTTTACAGTGTCTGAAATATTTCTTTGTTTTTCTAGATAAGACTGTCTTTTAATTTATCATAAATGTGTTTGTTTTAAATGCCTTCCCTGTATTCTTTGGCAAAACAAAAATAGGCAGTGCTCTATCATCTACAACAACAACATTAAAAAAACAGGGCAACCTCATCCAAGCAACCAATACTTAACCAACTTTTTGATTTCTTTAAACCATGTTATTCCTTTTTAGTTGTCAAATAAAGTCCAAATGTGATGACTAAAACCACATACCACCACCATGCCTTCCTTACCTTGCTCATAATCCTGAAAAAAGACTCTTAGTTCAACAAAGCTCTAAGACACTGTGAATTAATAATTTACAGCTCATAATATGCTACTTTGTGGGAATGTAATAGAGGAATGTGGACCGAGACTCGCCAGTAGACAAAGACTAACAATTCCTTCAGGCTGGGTCAACAGACAAGCACTGATGCACAACAACAGTGTGGAGAAATTATTTCAGGTTTTAAGTGAGTGAAAGTGACAGCAGAAATTATTTTAAATGTGACAATACATTCAGAGGTCTAACACACTCGGTCCGCAAAATCTGACAACTAAATTACTGATATCAGAAGGTATAAGGCTTTCAGACAAATGAATCTCGATTTTGTTCTTTATTGGCAATTTAAATTGAGTATCCAGAACTACAAAAGTATAGCAACATTTAGTATCATAATGTAATAATAATAATAATAATAATAATAATAATAATATAATAATAATATAATAATAATAATAATGCCATATTAACTAATTTTGAGAGTTCACAAACAGAATCCTTTCTGAACAATCTGACAGTCTAATTCTTTTTCAGTTACTGGAATTATGACAATAATAAAAGTTGAACTCATGAAAACAGTCTAATTAGAGCTTGTAATGCTTATTCTGAGAATATGGCTTTAATTTGACTGTACTGTTACTTTAACCAGCGGGTTCAGATTATAAATCAACATAAACTGAGAGCAAGTTGTATTCCAGCACCATTCCTTGGGGCCACTTCTGTGTAAAAACTACTCATCAGCAGACAATAAACAAGCCAAAGGTAAAACTCTAAATATTATAGAAAACGTGGGGTAAAAAAAGAAACCAGTAATAAGAAAACTAATCTTAGCTGGAGACGGTGCTTGCTATTGGGGAGTTTCCTTCCCCGCTGCTTGTTTTTCATAATGCAGTCTCAACACTTTTTCTGCCTCTGTGGTGGAAATCACACAATGGCCAATACTGATTGCTTTATTTTCTCAGTGTGTGCCCCCTGTGTGAGTTTGTTATTGCAGAACATGAGGATATGCCAGACGGGGGGATGCTGAGCGAGCACAAGCCAACATTTTCTAATATTCTAAATCCTGATGGGTGGCACAGGGGGTGGATGGTGGTCCATGAGGACATGAGCTCCATCTCTGTAAAAGTGAGCTTGTGAAGCCGTAGGCTCTGACAGACATGCGCTGGTACCTGGACACTGCGGGTCCAGTAAGTTAAACCTCTGCACCACCACTAGACTGTGGCCACACGTGCACGGATTATATGCAAAGAAATTATTGTTTTAGGGTAGACCACCCTCACATCTGCCCAAAGGCATGTTTTATCTGTAGAGCACGTGGGGGGTACTAGGAATTCATTCACATACCACTGATGCCAGTGTGGATGTGGCCAGTGGTGTGCAAACCTTCGGAGCTTTATAAACACTCCACAGTCAAAGAAGAAAAACAGTCACTGTCTTAGACAATGCACTTGTAATACTCATAGACATACGCATATTACAAAAGCCAATACCATAAAAAAGAAACACTTTATTTTCCATTTTGCACACACTTGCTTGCAAATTGTGGCTGTGCAAATCTGATGATTTTATTAAACGTGAAAAATAAAAAATCTTTGAGCAAAATCTTGATAAACGTCGCAGACTTTGGTCCTCTGCTGTCTCAGACTCGATGTCGTGGTCCCTCATAACGGGGCTCTCCGTTTACATTATTCATACGGAGGAGGGTGTGACTTGTTGGCTCTTTTTTCTGCCTGTATAAAACGAGAAGTTCGTGTAAAAGAAAATACAGATGGAGAAGGCTCACCGGCTCGCTGTGTCACAGAGAGTCCCCTTAAGCCCGCGTGACAGCTCTCATACTGTCCCTTTGTGACCAGCTTTATCCACAGAATGCCTGCTCTATGTTTGCTATGTCTGGCTGCCGCACTAGCGGCGTTCACGCGGCTCGCCGGTTCCGTGGGTCCGGTGATTCGGTGTGAGCCGTGCGACGCTGCAGCGCTCCTGCAATGCAAGCCCCTGCCTAAAGACTGTGTGGAGCGGGTGAGGGAACCGGGCTGCGGCTGCTGCATGACGTGCGCCCTGGGCGAGGGACAGGCATGTGGAGTGTACACGGCACGCTGCGGCTCCGGCTTGAGCTGCCAGCATCAACCCGGGGAAAGCAAACCACTTCAGGCTTTATTGGAGGGACGAGGGCTGTGCTCCCCGGCCGCTTCTAAAAAACTCAACAGTATTCTCGTCCCGGCGCCAAAGCAAGGTAAGCGCTTAAACTTCGGCTATATCGGTCAACACTTTGGTGCACTGACAGATGCACTTCAGCCAGACGCACAAGATGCCAACTCAAAAGCGACTGAAATCTGTCAGTGAAAATATTACGCATTGTTTGGTTGTGTATGAAGATCCCTCACATAATTCGAACATGCTTGTCACGTGCTGAGAGAAACATTTTCTTTCCAGTTCAACATTGCCATGGCAATAAAAATAAGGTGCCTACCACCTGCTTATAGACTATACTGCAAAAAAACAACAACAAAAAAACAAAAAACAAAAAAACAAAAAAAAACGGTGCGCATTTAATGTTCGACTAAACACTCCCAAAAACATTCCATAAAACTGCTCAGGCCATGTCAATATTATGTAGCCTACGTCCAAAGTTTACGCAGCAATATTGGCAAAGGCATGCGCTTGGTTTAAGTGTCATGCATGCATGGATCCACGCGCAACTAAAAATAAAACAAATACATGCAATGTGCTATATGAATGTGTGGTACGCACAAGACTCTTATCTCACGCACACTTACACGGTTCTGTCAATAGCCTACCACATGTAGTCTATAGGTGCGAGATGCACCACTTGCGCATCCTATTCAAGTTTAGGAAATAAGCTACTGTTCATTAGCTGCCTGCAAATACAACAGTGTCACGCTTCACCTCAAACTAGAGCCTAACCTCAGGTGAAAGGCCTTAACATATGGGCTACACAGTGTTGGTGTTGGTCCCAGACGTGAGAGTTCGTACAGAGGCGCTGTACACGGCGCTTTGTGTGAATGGGCGCTCTCTGCTCGCCCTCGCGGGGGACACGGCACACATAGCACCTGTGTGTGAGTACACATCCCTGTGTGTTTAGGCACGGCTGACGTCAGACCTCCAGGAGCCTCTCTGTTTTCTACTTCTGCTTATTTGGTTTGGCCTCGCGCTCAGTCAGGACTCACATTGTGCTGCTCTAATCCACGGGCCCACTGAGAGGCAGAAATAAATGCAGATTATCATGGGAGTGTTATGAACCTCAGATACTAATTTAAACCTATAGGTTACATTTCATAACTATGTAATCAAACGGTTAAAGACGAAGAAAATTTGAATACCTTGTTTATTTTTACTTATAGGGATTTGAAAGACAATCAAATTGATCTAGAGCACCCCTGCTGGTTAAAAGTTCTAATTGCAGACTAGTGGTTTTCACCGCCATCAGTCCCCAGCTCCAGCACAGCCTCTCCTCCCAGACATTAACAAGCTCTCCTGACCACAGTTTGTCCTATTTACCCTTGTACATTATGCAAACAAATTGCGTAATGTGTTTATGTTAAAGGCCTAGACATCCGTAAATGGTTGTATAAAAGTTGAGATGCACTATAAAACGCGTGCAAGCAGTTTTGATTTGCACAGTCTGTTTGGGTGAGTTTAGGACTGTGGAGGCACAGCATGGCTCTAATTGATCAGGTGGTCATGCAGCATTGGTGGGCTGCCAGCCTGCGTGCCCCCACATGCTACACCCCTGCACACCCCCACAGCTTCCACCACAACCCTAAGACTCAAATCTGCTTTGAGTTAACAGTTTAAATCTATGTTTGGGTGTGTGTACCACTGCATGTGTGTTCCCAGCATTCTGCCGTCTGCCTGAGACCTCTTCATGTTTGTGGTCATGCATGCCCACTAATTCACCTCCATATGTGTTTGTGGATCAGGCCTCCTATGTATACTGCAGAGTCTATCCTAAATGTTAAATAGACAGCTTGATAAGACATTAGTGGCACGATTCTACTTTTCTGTTTGCTGTTTGTCGGATAATTGCCTGAGCAGTGTCCTTAAAAACCTTGTTTACCCGAGATTGCTGCTGGAGTCTATCTTTTGGTCTACTGCATACTGTGGAAATTTGTGGATTTGAAATTGTCATGTTTCTGTTTATGACTTGGTTTCATCTGCGGTTCCAACAAAAAGCTCAGAAGGCAAAATCCAAACTAGGCCTATATTTTGTGCTTTAAACATATCAATCATTTAGCCATCACTATTTACCATGCACCGCTATACTGGAAATCAGCTGCAGCGCATCATTTTAATGTAAAGAAAATATAGGACAAAATATAATTTATTAAAAAATTAAAACATTTTGATTTACTTACAGAGAGCATTGGAAATCAAATTGAAGACTCAGCCAATGCCACTGCCTCCATGACTGTGCTGCCTGGTTTAGTAAAGGGTGGCCACAGTCGGGTACCAGCAGATACCAGGCCTTCAGTGCACAAGCTGTTCGAGAAAGATCTCAACAAGAAGACCCAAAGCTACAAGGTGGAGTCTGTGTCCGGAGGAGCCAATATGGACATGCACAACTTCTCCCTGGAAAACAAGAGGGAGACCGAGTATGTAAGTCACAAAACTACTGCCATTCACATTTTTAAAAATTGATTTTAATATTTAACTAAACAAAAATAGAATACACATTTTTAGACTACAGCCAAAAAGAATGTTATGAAGATTGCTCATCATCTAACTGTTGGCAGTACCTGTCGAGGTGCAGTCCCATGTTTCTTTGGAGTTTGGAGCAAAAAGTGAATCATTAGCAAAATAAAATAAAGGAAATACTGTAGCGTTATTTCAAACATCGCCACCTGCTGGATTGATTGAATAGACTGATTGCTATCAAGCTACATCATGGCTAGCATTATTACACTAAAAATAACATGCACTTTATATCTTTGAAGACTGTACATTTATTGAAATGCATGGTAAGGTGATGTGTTATGTGGTAAGGTAAAGAAATAGATAAAGTTAGTCTTTTCTGTAAAGTTGCTATGGCTAAGTAGTCCTCATTTGTAATATAACTCACAAAATATGTGTTTTGCAACAATTTCTTATATTCTTTCATATGGTTATGTTTTATGACAGACTTAGCACGCTTACGAAATTCCTTTAATTTAGGCTAGAAATGTCATGGAAACAAACAGCGGTCCTTACCTTGGTTCAAACTTTGCTTCCCTACACCGGAGCACAATTTGGGAGGTCTAACAAACATTTTGTGTGCATTTATTTACGTATGCCACCTTTGAAGTCACTGTTGTCATCTCTGTCTCATGTGCACACGCTGCACGTGGAGACGCTCAGCACCAGAACTGTTTTTTAAGCACTTAGTGGCCTGCTGAGGAGCTTCACAGGCCTAAATCAAAATCAGTTTTAATTATACACTTTATTGCAGAAATTACAGTTCTTTCCCAAAAGTTATCATGTCATTTTGGAAGTCATACACATGTTTTTGTGTTTAGTGCCAAGATCATAGCAATTTACGTTTAATTATGTTTTACACACTCCTGATCCACTGAAAACATCACTCAATCACCTGGTATGAAGGCATACAATAACAGCATTAACATTAATTTTCAAACTTCTTTTTACATTTTACTTTGAACACACTTTACTCTAAAGGAGTATAGATGTTACATACATGGAGTGTAATAGTGTTGTGTTTACAGGGGCCTTGTCGGCGAGAGATGGAAAGTATCCTGAACAGCCTTAAAATCAGCAGCGTTCTCATCCCAGGAGGCTTCCGCATCCCCAACTGTGACAGAAAAGGCTTCTACAAGAAAAAACAGGTAGATACCTCTTATATATTCCTGTAATGCATTATGGCTTGCAACAGCATAAGCATGGATGGAAAGTCATTTTACAAAACCTCATTTTACTGTTATAACATATTTTTTAAAACATACATTTAAAATCATAGGCATTAGGCTACACATAAGAAGCCCCAAGTCCCAATTGTCCCATGTCTCAATGCTATCTCTGCTCCTTTCTACTACACACACACAGCTGCACCACATCATCTTGCATTTGGTAACCCTAACCCAACATATTTTAGCTTTTAAATGTTAATTTCATCAAGTTTCATAGAAGACTGTTGTAAAATGCTATGAAAATTGTGTGAAAAAATAACAAGGACTTTTAAACATACCTTACACTTTTAGAAATTAAAGGTGCCCTGCACAACTTTCCTGGTGGAGGGTCTCTTACCTACTGTTATTAGATATTGCTTTCCATGGCAGACCCTCCACTGGAAATGTTACGCAGTGCACATTTAAGTACAAATTTGGCAGCAGTACTTTTTGCCATATAACTGCACAATTACTTGCGTTCAAATTCTCAATAGTCTTTCCACTACTGGACATAGATGACACCTAAAGTTAAGCTAACAGACCCACCACAGCCCTGAACACCTCCTCAGAACCCCAGACACATCCCACCCACCCACACAATACGAGCTCCTCTCTTGCATAGGTTGCCTTGACAGCCACATCAACACTATATTATCAGAATGTCTAATAAGCATGTATGGCTCCGGTAAGTGCACTGCAGCCAGCTGACTCATGCTCAGAGGAAGTGGAGTGGGTCAGGTGTGCTTGTGGGTGCGTGTGGGGGGCAGGGAGGTAAGAATGTGGTCTGTGAGTGTGTGTGGCACTGCTGCGGAGGGCATCAGGGTGCTTGTTTGATGACGGTAGTTTCGGCGAGGCTCTAGGTGTGGGGAACTGTTGGTGAGGGAAAAAAAGCAAATACTGTCACTGGTTTAGTTTTTCTTGTCCGCGGTGCAGACGAAGGCCACCCATAGCTTGCTCATTTGTAAGATGGATAGAGGATGGAAATGGAGCTTAAACCTGTTGCAGTAGGGAGCAATAGGGAGTTACAATGGAGCTTAGTGTTGTCACGATATGGAAATTTCTCGATATCACTGCTAAGGGATAGACTTGATGCTTACTGCAGATTCCGATATCACAATTCTTTATTTTGATTATAGAACATAATTTTCAACATTAAATCATAGTACGTTCTTTTATATTACCATGTGGCTTCATATCTGTGGAATCCCTCAGTGGACCAGGTAGGTTCCAAAGTGGTCCATGTGTGTATACTTGTCTATGCGATCTTATACTTGTTCTGATACAGCTCATTCTAAAGATATTCAGGAAACATTCATTTCTATCCTGTGAATTTGATTCTTTTAGTATCAATGTCTGCTCAAATGACTATCTAGGTTTGATATTAGTTTTTGTATCGATTACAGTAGTATCGCATTGTCCATACTTTTGACAACCCCAATAGAGAACGCCTTTGTGTGTGTTCCTACAAGCTCATTCATATGTATTTTTATAAATCTTAAATGGTAAAATTAATCCACTGAAAACTCAAGAAAACCCAAGTAATAAAAGTTACATTAGTTGCTATCACTTAAAGTTTGTGTGCATTCAGTTCCACTAGAATGTTTATACTTTTTCAGTTTTATTTTAGTCTTAAGACGTGAAAGTGTTGTATGAAATCCCCCAAGATAAAGAGAGAGAATCATGTGATAATTAGTAATCATAATATAATAAAGGTTTTCATATTATTTGTTTTACCTAAAGGCTTTCTATGCATTAACGTTGCAGGATTATCCAATTATCTTGATTGCAATAATCATCTGATGTTTTTCGGATGATTTTGAAATGTGCTAAAATGAACTGGTTCAATTACTGCACGTGAATGGACTGTAAAATTTATATATCACAAAAAAGATGTTTTTTTTTCTTTGAAAAATGGGCAATGTGTGTGATTATCAATACAATCATATTTTTTTTCTATCAAGTCTGAACTCCAAACCACATGCATTTACTAGCAGAGGATTGGCATGACACCGCTCCATTAAAAAGGTGATCATTGACTGAATCTTGATTAAAACTTTATTTACTGCACAGCCCTATAGATGACACTGCAAGTTTGTTTTATCATTTTACAGATGAACTACTCAGCATTGAAAGTTATCTTAGAGACAATGTATTGCTCCCAGCTCTTCTCATTCTGAAGCATCATGTTGAGTTTAAAGAAAAGGATCATTATCACTGTCCCATTTCAGGAAGTCAGTCTTACACTAGCCCTCCATTCTGAGAAACGCATGAGTCACTACAGTCTGCTGCAGGAACGCTGTGACTCACACCATCTCAGTCAGGAGCAGCCACTGGAGGGCTGGAGGAGTTCACTGTTTCTCAGAAGGGTATTAAAGTGTGTTCACGCTTGTCCTGTCTGAGCCTAGACTCAGTTTGATGCTTTTCCAGACCAGGGTTATTTTTATGTCAAGTAGAGTTGTGCAGTTAATCATATTTTATTATTATATTTTGTAAATTATTTGCTACAGGTATTTTAATTGAGAAGTTTAAAGCCAATCCCCTGTCAGTAAAAGCATATTATTTGGGGCAGAAATTTGACTATTCTTTTGTGTATTAAATGCCATTGATTAAACGTTTTTCTGAAATTAATCCACTCTATGGAATTAAACCTGCATGTAAAAGAATATTTTTGTTGTTAAAAATACCTTCAAAAACATGCATTCCTACTATAAGCAGGGTTACCTCTAAACATATCTGACCAAACGTTTCATTCAAACCAATAACATCTCAAGAAGCAGCTGATGTAAACTCTATCAAAAGTTACATAGTACAGCTTTAAGTCACAGTATAGTACCAATTTTGATGTGCTGTGATTACAACTTTGAGCCCCATTTCATCTAATTGACTACTCTGGATCAGTAAAGTTATTGTATACAAAGCAGTGCCCCAATGGCATCTTTGTCTTTAGACCTAAAATCCGGGTGTGGGCGTGTGATGTTAGACCATCCGAGAAGATATGCCTTCATGGTGCGTTGTGGAGGTTTATGACCGGAAACTGTGCGAAGAAGAGACCGTGTGAACCATTCAGGGTGACAATGCTTTGTAAAGAAATGAACAGGGAGGAGGAGGGGAGGAGAAGACAACCTGTAGTAGTAGAAGTACTAGTATATTTATAAAGTCCTCCAAGAGGACCAAGTAATTGCATCGTGTTTTTTTTGTTTTTTTTTTCTGGTAAGTAGTGCCAGGAAGTAATTGTTACCTAATAGTTGTTATGTTAATCAAGTAACAACAGGAAACAGGTCACCTCAATGGAAAATTTGAGTGGATCAAGTTTTTCTACTCCTTTGTTGTAAAACAAAAACGAAACAATGATGTCATGTCAGAAGAATTATTTTACAAATGGTTGTACGTGAAGGTTAATGACACAGGTAGTGAGAGTATAGGCATTGTCGTTGAGCAACAGCATTTCCAATTATACCAACTGTAATATTTACACATGCTCTTAGACATGACTCTCAGTAGTTTCTTGGAGCTGTGCTATACATGAGTGGGACACCTACTGCACTAGCCACAAATGAAAACAGGTTTTGTAGTTTCAGTGAAGGAGATTGAGTGGGTTAGGCCTGAGCAGCTTTGTAACTAAGACGAAAAAGTGACTGTGGTCAGACTATAATGAATAGCAATGCTGACAAGTTTTCACAAGCGAGAGTGACCACAAAAACATCTGAAAATTCTGTCAAGTCAGCCGCAAACAAATCTCTTATCGAACAGTTTATCTTTCTCCACACTTTGTGGGAACAGTTGCAAAGCAGTTTTTCAAACCACCGACAGATAAATGTTGCTACTATTATAATCCTCTAACGAGTCAAACTGCACGGCAGCTGTCTCCTGGGGCTTTCAAGGGAAACTATAAAGTTGTGCAACATGTGTATACCACTATACAGTAGTTAGGCACTCACAGAGCCAGATACAAACCTAAACATGTTGTAGAACTGAAGTTTATTCATTATGTGCATGAAAGTTTGAGTGCTGGTAACACGAGTGACTGCCTGAGTGACAGAGAGACTATTTTTAGCATCTGTTATATGAATTGGCTCAGTATCCCAGAGCAGGCTGTGCATGCCCAGCACTGACCCACTCATTACACTCTCTCTCTCTTATTCATCATGTCACCCGCCATCACTGCCCCCTTTGTGCCCAGCCTACAGTCATGCGCTCCTTTGTTTTCCATGCGCGCTGCGTTGTTCTTCCTGCCCTTCCTCCCACCTGGCTTTTCCTCATGTGTTTGGCCGGGCCTGGCCCCACAGAGGCTTGTGAATAGGACGGCAGTATGTCTGTGTGTATTTGTGTGCGAGAGGAAGAGGGTTAAGGATGTGAGCCAGGTGCCTGAGAACTCTAATCCGTCCTCCTTCCCTCGGTGCTGCCAGTGCCAGGCCCATAAGGACTGACTTATTGAGCCCGACTCTCACAGATCTGTGGAAACGTACAGACTCACCACAATGGCTTTATAATAACTGGCCAACCTTCGAGGACCCAGACAGCTATTTTCTCTCTGTCTCTTTTCCTCGCTGGATTTCTAATCCACTGCCATGCCTCTCACTGGAGCTCCTTTTTAATTTGCCTGTTGTGTAACAGGTTAGGTATCATTTCACATGTCCTAGCAATGAAAGGAACACAATTTACCTTAAATCCTCAAAAAGATAGAGTAACCAATAGAGAGAAATTTATTTTATACTTGACCAACAAAATCTAGATGAAATGTCTCTGCACATGAAATTGTTGCACAAAATTGGCTTTTCTTTATAGTTTAACAAAAACGAAATAAACCAATACCATGTCAGTGTGCTATGTTAGTGTGTGTATAACACAAACTCTTTAAGGACTGGTGTAGGCCAGAGCAGTCTCTTTCTAATGTCCAGGTGGTGTTGCTATTACTTATAAAGTTTGCCAATACAAGAGCATGCATTCATAGGCACAACACAGAGGTATACGCCACATAAAGGGAGCATTATGAAGGTGCGCAGTGGATCAAGTGATGAAATGAAACTACTTACAGTTTGTTGTTATAGCAGTTTTCTATCCAGAATGCAGTAATTGTGCATTTTATTTATCACACTTTTGCAAGTCCTTATTTTACTGAGCCCACATTGAACCCTGACTATAAATGCTGCAATTCCGTGAAATGGACACTGGTGTCTGTGAAATGAAGTTCAGAAAGTTGTTGGGACTTAAGCAAAGTGACAGCCACAGCGTTGTCTTTGTTCCATATAATGTGTATAGATAGAAGCGGTAAAGAAAGGATAGCTTGAGATGACTGCTAATAGTTCACAGATGAAAGAGAGACTGAGCGGAAATTCAAAGGTAGCCAAGCAACAGGGGGAATGCACACATGCACATTTTGCTCTTCCTCTCCCTTCCGCCGTTCCTTTGGCTTTTCAGCCCATACAAACACACAGTGACACACACACATACAGAACTCTATCATCATTAACCAGAGCAGGAACACAATGTTAAGCTCCTCTCCCCAGTGCTGTCCGCTGGGTCAAGGCGAAAATAGAAGTTGGCCACAAACTATGGCTCCGTGAGGGGGAAGGAGAAAAGAAGCAGGGAGCACAAAAAGAGGAAGGCAAGAAAGTTCCAAAAGAATCCCTTGATGATGTTAAGTATGTGAGAACAAGGCGTGCTACGATGCCCCCGGACTGCTGCAGTAGTTGTTGGCAAGGTATTTTAATAGGCCTGTGTCTCTATAAAGCGTCCTTTGATCATGCTCTCAGGCTGCACGTGGAGGCTGACTGCACCAGAGCACACACCTGGACACACTCTGAAGCCGGTCTGTCTGCCTCTCACCAATACAATCTGTGAGCTCTGTGACCTTTTTATAGAAACATAAATGTCACGTGGAAACAGAGGGAGGACCCAAAACGCAGGTCTGCTTCAAAATATTTAATGACAAATCAAAAAAATCCAAAACTCAAGACTAAATTGCCATGACAAGAGACACAGTGAAACTCAGACAGAGACAATTGACCAACAAAGGGCAGACGAGAACACAAGGTATAAATGCACACACATGAATGAGACACAGGTGAGACACATTAGGGCGGGGCAAACAATCAACAACAACAAACAATCAGGAAGTAAAACTCAGAACTACAAGCAGACAAAACAAATGTCAAAATAAAACACCAACTACAACCACTACAAAACATGAACCATGCCAATAAATATCCCTTTCCCCAAATAAACACAACTTGAACAATATAGATAAAATACTGGCATATTATACGAAAATTAATTTTAACTTAGACATTTAAAGGCGCATTGTGTAACTTTTCTGGTGGAGGGTCTGTTATATGCTTTTCTCCATGAAAACGTTATTGCTTGGTCTAGAATGTTTCACAGTATTGTATTAAACTTTTTTATCATCATGGAGACCAAAGCAGACCAGGTTACAGGTCAGATCTGTGGAGAGGTAACCCCGCTCACAGTCAGAATGCTTGTTTTTCTAGGTATTTTTGAGCAGTAAAACCATCTGTAATTGAATAAATTTAAGGTAGAGCTATTTAATGTCATACTGTGGAATATTCCAGGCAGAGCAATGTCATATCCATAGAAACAAGCAGGTGACGGACCCTCAACCAAAACGTTACATAGTGCATTTTTAAACAGTTACAGACATGTACAAAAAGAAACTATTTAAATGTTCACTCACCAATCCATCCTTCATACTACGCCTCCCAAATATCTCCTCACACATTCTTTCTTTTCTTATTTTCTCAATGTATCTTATTTAGAAAAGTCTCTTTTAATGGATAATCAAGTATTCTGTTCATATTTTATCCCAGACCACATGTACTAAAGCAAAACTTTGGGTGACGGTGGAAATAGTGGCAACATATCTTCAGCAAATGTGACTTCAGAGAGCAGGTAGGCTGACCAGAAGAGATGGCTGTATTGGCAGTCAGCTGATAGCACAGGTGCAGTGTCAGAGTGCACTTGGCTTTGATCTGAGAGAGAGCTTAACTATGGACAATTCTGCATCATTATTGAATGAGCCAGACAACATGAAGCACCTGTCCATTTAAGAAACTGAAGTCTCACAACATGTTGGTCCCCATTTGCTTTACTAGTGTTTTGACTGACGTTTACATGTCGTGTATTGGACTACAGACATACTTTGAGGCTCTCCTGAGGTTGCATTAGCCCATCATTCTACTTTGCTTTTTGAATATATTATACCCAGATGAGTACTTTTTACATTTTGAAAATGTTAATATAGACAATCAGCGTCTTGGTGGTTCTGGCTGTTCTGGGTTAGTGTTATGAGCTAGCATTAGCCTTTGTTTCATATACCCTAAATGAGCTCATAAAGTTGCCACTTTACAAAGGCCGTTCCCCCGGTGAGATGTTGAATATGACTGCATAGTGCGTGTGTGAGCAGGTGGGGGTATACATATACTGTATACATATGGAACATACGAGTCCTGTTTGTGTGTGGCAGCATGTTTGCTGAAGTGTGTTTATGTACACTTATGTGCACGCTCACGTGCACCCTCACATGCACTGCAGGCCCATAATCAGCTCCAGATGATTTGGTGTGTCTGCCAGTTTCCCAGAATAGAAGCACTGGTTTCCCTGCAGCCCTGCGACTGGCCTTGGCAAATATTTTAGCAACTCTATGTTTACCTTCACACTCACTCACTGCGTGCCTCATTCCATGTCACTACTCAGACAACAATCAAATATACCTTTATCCTACATCCAACACAAGGCAATGAATGCATGATAGAAATGGACTTGGTCTTACGAGTGTATGCAGATAATAGAGGGCAAGGGCAGAATGATTTCCATTTGTGGTGTTTGAACCATTATCCACAGATATTTAGGTCAGATGTTAATTTGGTTCAAAAGTACAAGCTGCAGAAACTAGAATATGTTATTGACACTTGTCTTCCTTTCACAGTGCCGTCCATCTAAAGGGCGGAGGAGGGGCTACTGCTGGTGTGTGGACAAATATGGACAGCCACTTCCTGGTTTTGACCGAAGAGAGCGAGGAGAGACGCAGTGCTACAACCTGGAGAGTAAATGAGAGCGTTACATGAGGACGGAGAGGATCAGAGGATCTCAGAGGAGGCTAGGACAGTGGAAGAACCAAGAGCCTTCTTTGCTCTTGCACTTAGATTTCTGTCAAACATTTGAAGGAGCTCTGGACCTTTCAGGTCCCATTTCTGTTGGCAAGGGAGGGAAGGGGAGAGGGCTGGCCATGCCACCAGTCTGTCACAGCTATCTGCCCTGTGCTTAGGGAGCGCTATCTTTTAATAAACACATTTAAATCGAATAAGCTGAAGCCGAGAGAAGCAGGAGACTCCTATTATCATCTGCACTATTCTTTTAGGAGGAAAGAGGGACTTTTCCCACTCACTAAGAGGACATTTTTGAGACTGTAACCCAAAAATCCACACCTCACTGTGTCTGCATGTCTGTACAACTGTGTGTGTGTTTGTGTAAATACTAATTGTCCTTAAGCTCAGTTCAGACTTGTTAGACTGCCCTTCCATAGTTTACAATGCAGAAAAACCTTTGTGGCTCAGGGTCGGTTCTGAAGTGAAGGATTATGGGAGCAGAGCTTTGACTTCAGTGTGTTCCCGTAGAGGATGTGGGAGTCTCTACAGGAGGAAGTTAGCCTGCTGTTACTGTTACAGTGCCTTACAATGTACTTTTCTACTCAACCCTTTGTATAGGACAGATTAAAGGAATACTCAAGTTAGCTTCAGTCTGATGACATTCTGTGCATGCGTGAAAACAGCGACTCTGATTGTAAAGCGCAACAGAAACTTGAATTCCAAGTGTTAACGTAGCACATAGCATAATGTACCTGTGATGGCAGCTCTATAGTGAAAAGACTCTTTGACTATCACAAACCAATGCACTTATAGAACCCTAAAGACATACAACAAAGTGATGTTTTGTCCAGTGGGTTAGACACAACTCACCATGTTACAAACATAAATGAGGTCATGATCAGTGTTGAGCAGTTCACGAGTCACTAGTGAGAGCTGGATTTGAGTGCATTACCAATCTTCTGGCAGCTGAGGGCTGACATGTGGGCAGCAGAGAGACTGTTTGTGCGACAGAGCTTTCTGTTGACTTTTTAGTGTTTTTGTGGGTCCCCATGGGAAGACTTTATAACTCATGTGAATCCAAGTTTTCCACAGCAAATGAGCAAGAGTGCATTAAGTCATTAAGTGTTCAAAGTCTGCTCCACTCAAAAACAACTTGTTTTCTCACTGCTTTCACTGCACAGAATGAAGTCTATCCAAGGCATGACACTGTCAAGACACTTTCATAGTTGTCAAATGACTGATTAAAAGGGGACATTTCTCTAATTTTGCCTTAAATCATTTTAAAGTGGATCAGCACCAGGAATACTCAACTCATTTCGAAGAAGTTATGGTCTTATGTGCAGTTTTTAATAGTGCATTATGACAACACCATAAATAATAAAGTATATTTTATGGTAAATTCATGACAAACTGATGTGATTTACAGATTTCATTTGGATGGATAAATCTTATTGACGAACCCCTTTTCTACAGCAGTAGATTTACTGTGTCCCTTGGGTGGAGTATTCCTGTAATATGTCTCAGTCCATCCCACATCTTGTTTCTGTTCAGCCTGTCTCTCGTCCACTGTCCCCTTGTGCAGCTCTCGTGTGGGGGTCCTTCTGACGCTCAAATCCAGTCTGTGCTGGATCTCAGTGCCTACTTCTCTTCTGTACCCTCTGTCCTTTTTGTCTCCCCCCCCATCCATGTTGTACTCTTGCCCTCTATACCTCTCACCTTTGGCCCTGTCTCACCTCTTTCATCCCTGTCTTGACCTTTCCTCCTGACCCCCTCCCCTGTCCCTGCCCTCCGCTCCTCAGTGGTGCGTCCTGGTGTATGCCTTTGTCTCTGCACAGGTGCCAGCTGCCCCCAAGCTTCCAGCTCAAGCACAAGCACTTAAAGCACTTTAGCTGCGTGGTCCTTGGTCAGTACATGCAGTTAAAGACAACTGGACCTATCCTTTCTCAGAGCTGACGATGCTGTTAGAACAGAAGATTGAAGGAAAAACAAAGCTACACCAGGACAGATAGTGAACACCCCTCCTTTCAATGCAACTCTTTTCATTGTTGTTTTTATGTCTTTGAATGATGCTTGTATGCATAGATGCCAACAAGTCTCCACAAGGTGGACACTGCACCAAATATGCATTGACACAAATACAAGGGGTCAAAGGGAGGGGAGCTCCTCCCTGCCCAGTGCACTCCCAATCCTGTGTAAAGACTTGAACAGGGGCGAGTGCTTGCCCAGTAGCTTGGTAGCATACATTTGGCTGTACGCTTCCATTGTTATTCACCAGTAACTCCAGCAATTTGGTGCTATATTCCATCTGCTCAAAGACTTGATGTACAGGGAGGATCAAAAACTCGTGTAAGCTATTCCCTCCCTTACAGTTGTAAGAGTGTCTTTTTTTTTTAAAATATATTAATATTATTATTTCTTGGCCAGCTATGTGTCTGACTAGACATTATGTACAGTACTTAAAATAAGATATTTATCTAAGAAGAGTTATAAGCTGATTCAAACTTGGTTTTCTTAAATGAACAGTTCATCAGTTGCACAATGTATTGTGGGATTATAATCACTAATGAATGTTTTATTCTTAAATCTTTTCTTCTTCATGTTCTGAGCCTGTGTTGGGCAGACACATGGCCTCTGCAGTGGCATAGTACAAAGGCCTCATTTGAGTCTCTCCATGTTCTCCCAGACATCCAGCCTCTGTCTCACACTTTATTTCACTTTGGTACAATGTTCTGCTGGTGATATTATGAATCTCTCTGTTCACGGGTAAATCTGTTTTGTTCTTTTTTTTTTGTCTATCCTAAAAAAACTGATTTAAGCTTTTCACAATAAACTAGAGATCACAGCTATTTTCTCTGAAAACTAAATAACTATGATTCAAAATATCATTTGTATTTAATGTTCTTTTTATAAAAATAAAAAGTGAATACATACAACATGTTGGCCCTGGCTCTTTGTTGTCTGTACTACTGAATGTTTTCAAAAGTGTGTTTTATGAAACCTTTCCATCAACCTAAAAGTTTTGTATGACAAAGAGAATGAAAAAGCAGGAGGGCATTTTCAGTACTACTGCTATCTGTCAATGAGTGGATATGTGCAGGCTATCAAGACAGCACAAATTAGCTCCTGTTGAAGTTGCAGTGCAATCAGGCTCCTCTGAGTCGTGGAATGTGTCCGTAAGGATAAAGCAAAGGTTCAATATGTAACGAATAAAAATAAATCCGGTGGTGCCAGGCAGGCTGGCAGTGGGCACCAGAGGTTGAAGTGAATTCCTGTACCTGACCAAGGCAAACAGAGGAGGTTAAAAGGCAGAGAGCGTGGGATGGCCAGTAGAACAGCCACTGTTAGATGATCATGATAGGACATTCTCCGTGGAGGAAGAGAGAAAACAGTATAGAAGCTGTTTATGTTATATATGACTTTTGAGGACACTTCAGAAATTGTTTTTTGTGTGTGTGTGTGTGTGTGTTTTGTTTTGTTTTTTTTACATGTGGCTTGTTATCTTTTCAATGCATGCCACACAGAGTGCACAAAGTAGGGCACACTGCTCTTAAGAGATAATATAGGGATGTGCTCTGCAGATCTTTGTAGTTATTGTGTTTGAGAACAGGCCTTTGCCATAAGATGACATAGTTGAGGTCACCAGAAGGACGTGAGGACACTCACCCTGCCGTATGGTGTAAATTTAACAGAACGGCCACAAAGAGTCTAATACAGGGATTTCATGAATAACACATTCATAAATGTACAGATGGTAATCATCTTCCTGGTAACACATCCTTATTTGGGCCATAGTCTGACAGTTGTGGTCACTTGTTGTCTCTCTCATTCAGATGTGACAGCAAACTGTATATATTTGGGCTCTCGGGCAAAACAAGACAACAAGCCTGAGTACTGTGGTAAAACTATTCAGGGCATTTTATGATATTTTGATCAATCTACATAGGGAATTCAAAAAGGAGACATACAAATCTGTTATATAAGTCCAATGAATCATGAATGAATCTTGCTCCACAGTCAGAACTGTAGAGGTCACGCTTATTATCTTTGTTTTTACAGAAAATTAGATGTCACTGTGTGTGTGGCCATGTTGTTAATCAAGACTGCTTGTCTATGTATGTAGATTTAGTTTAAAATGTGCAATGCAACAATATTAATCAAACTAAATCTACAAGCATTACTGTTAAAGGTATTATAAATGAGGAAAGGAGATATGCTCATGACAGTATTGTTTTTATTAAATACATCACTTTCTGCCATGACATGTTACAAAAGTGTACATAGACATCAGTCACTCTCTCTGACAGCAGCGTGTGTGTTCAGAGCACCTCAGTGCTGTGGTCATGTGTTTTTGGTCGGAGAGAACACACATATACAGTCAAACAGCAAGTCTTGTTTGGACAAATACATCAACACAAGTGACAGCAGACACATAAATATCGGAGGTAGGTAAATGTAGAAATACCCGTGTGAGCAGTGTGCAGGGTGCACCGCCTCGTGCTAAATCTGCAGCCCCATGGAACCATGGGATATGTTTTCTGAGAAGGATTCCCCGGCTGGGAGTTTGCATTACTGACAAGAGCTGAGTATGAGTCACATCAGAATCAAAGACTAAAAGACAACATTTGCAACAATGTGAAATATCAACATTTAGAAATACTTCTAAATGACATTTGGTCACTCAGTGCTTTTGTTCTGGTTTGGTTCATCACTAACCGAACCATAGGTAATTCCATAGCCTTGGAGTCACTCAGATACAAGTTACATATATACACTTTGTACACACTTAATAATAATATCCATAAGGCAAAAAATGATATAAATACTAAATAATAATAATAATAATAATTACAAATAATAGAAAAATAATAAAAAAACAAAAACATTAAAATAAATAAGGCAGAAGTTCAGACATAAATGCATGTACATAAAAACAAAAATAGATTTTCACTCTTTGGGACGGGGTCTGAAAGGGTGGGGGACAGCGCCCCACAATGACAGTGTACCTGAATTACATGAATACAATCAATAAATAAACAGCTAACATGGACATCAGTGGCTTCTTGGTTTGGGAGACCAGGGCTGATCTCTTAAGGGCACTCGGTGTCTGCGGCCACGTCCACTGAACCCAAAAGCTTTTTGCCATTCCAGGAGTTTACACACCAGCAGCGCCCCCGTTGGCCATCCAGGGTAGACTCACACTGTAAGTAAGAACAGGAATGATTTACTTTGCTGTCTGTAAAGCCCAGTCAAGCACAACAGCAGTGACATGTGTAACATGTTCCACTACACAGTGCTATCAAAACTATGAGGGGGGTTCTCTCTACATCAAGAGGACACTCACCTGTTTGGGTTTGTACAGGCCGTGCTTGTCACAGTTTGGCAGGTAGAATCTGGTTAACTTGTCTCCTAATTTCTGTTGGGACCTGGCAATTTTTTCCAAGGCTCTCTGAAGCTCTACATGACAAGGTCCCTGCAAAATAAAACAAGCAAACAAATTGAGTTTAAATCTAAAAAAAAAGATATATGCAAAGAATAGTAATAACTATTACAATAATTATAACACATTTTACAACAAGCTAAGTAAATCACTTGAATTCTCTAACTATTCCTTATGATTCCAAAGCAGCACTCGAGCTCCCCCTGGTGGCTGTTCTCGTCTGCACGTTCTCAAAACTTTATTCTCCTTCCAATAAGAAAAGGCACACTCAATTTAGACATGAGAGTCTCACCTGCTCCACCAGCTTCTTGCGGATAGCGATCAGTTTGGCCTTCATGCTCTCCTGTGCGTCAGCTGCCGCCCGGGGGTCGTAGGGTTTGTTGTGGCCGGAGAGATAGAGACTTGAGCCAGGGTCCGAGATGATGGCAGTGTTGTCCATCTCCAATTCTGGTTCTGCTGGCTCTGTAAGCAAAATGTAAAGCAAGTGAGTGTATGGTATTGGACACATTATATATTACATTCTTTACAGATTTATATTGTGATTAAAACTAAAAATCTAAAGAGGAGATAGACGCGTTTAAGTAAAAGCCATGACGCGTTTAAGTAAAAGCTGAAGGCTGTGGATTAGTCATGACACTCTTACATGAGGAAGAGGTGGGTCTTTACCTTGGATATCTGGCTGGGATGTGGGTTCTGGCTCGGGGATCTCCGTGCACACTGCCTGTCCCCGGGTGAGGGAGTGTAGCGGTCTAGGGTCGCCGGCTCTGGGGGTGCACCTCAGACCGGAGCCGCACGGCGCGGTGTAGATTCCGCACAGCTCCCCGGAGCTCAGGGCACAGGCCAGGCAGCATCCACATCCAGGCTCCCGCAGCACCTCGGCGCATCCGGGGGCCACCGCGGGACATTGGCTCAGCTTCTCTGGAGTGCAGGGGGCGCAGCGGATTGGATCTGGCCCCAACACCGGGGACCCCAGCACAAGAGTGGACAGCACGGAGCACAGCGCTGCCACCACCAAGGCATTCCTCTCATATAATCCTTGCACATCCGGCATTTCGCTTGTAACAGTAGATTGCTGCAGAAGAGGCTGGTCTGAGCTGTAGTTCTTCAGTAGTGTCTTTCCTTTGATTTTGGGAAAATGTCTAACTGTGCTTTGCGCGCAGCCGTATTTATAGCCGGCTCCTCTGTGAGTGGTTGACGCATCGGCGTTATGAATGATTTCTGAAAAGAAGGTGTAATGACACCGTGAGCTCTGATTGGCCAGTCCGTGTCCGGTCAGCCAGCTCATTTGAATACAACGATCACGTCAATATTTATTTTGGAACAGCCAGTGCCTGCACGTATAACGTCGAGTGACGACACCAGTGTTTGATGTTGCAACCGTGGACCCCCCTTTTCTCACCCGCATGCTACAGCAGTTTAGCCCGCACTGACAAACCTCAGAGCCACAGAAGTTAGCCTATCTCCTTCTCAGTGGATTGAGCAGCTTGTGAAGCGCTTCTTTGTGTCCCAGGGAACACTGAGCGCCTCTGCGCTAACAAAACACTCGTCTTTTCATCGGCGCTGCACAGTAATTGTCCTCTCTAAACTTCTTGCACAACTTTAGAGGGAACACTAATAATGAGCGCGCATTACGCACGCCCACGCAGCCGGCACAGGGCGCCTCTAATTTGACACGAGCATGTTTACTGAGGGATAATAAATGCAACTTTCAGAAATAGCAGCGCAAATGAGGGTCAACGTTTACGCCTCTGAGCCGGGGTCTCGTGGGCCCGCTGCGGTATGTCAGCCTCCGAGCGCACTGAAGCCGGCTTTGGGCCCAGTCCAGGAGCTGTCCCGTTGTAATTATCCGTTTCCTGGTTAATCATAGACCACAGCTTTAAGAGGGGCCGCGTTGACATGGTGCACGACACGTCCCTATCCTCGCTATTCTCCTGGGGCCAGGATGCTCCCACGGTGGACTCCAGGCTCTCTACGAACTGGCGAGTGGCTGCGAGGCATTTAGTGTCACTTCTGACTCGAGGCGGACATGTGATAGCCTAATGTCTCAGAGTTTGCAAACGGCCCAAAATAAACCCTCAGTGTACTTTCCACTGACACACATAGACTCTCAATATAGTTCACTTTTCTGATGCAATGTGTCACCGATTGGCTCCATGCAATTGACAAAAGGGATTGCATCATTTGTCAAATGGTGTTAACAGGCGTTCTCACGTGACGCTCAGATTTGTATTCCTGAACACTCGTGGCTAAATAAAGCATCCAGTGTAATCTGACGTGGCGTGAGAGCGAGTAGAGGCCCAGTGTCCTCTGGCTATAATCACCTTTATGTTGTACATGAATTTGGACGAGTCATGGCCTAAGCATCCAGCACTAATACCAGCGCGCCGTGACCTCTGTCATGCTCCCAAAACTATAGGCTACATGACAAGTCTCATGCAC